ATGGCACCTGACAACAACAACAACAAATAAAAGCGTCAATTTAAATTCCTTGTCTCATTTTATTATTATACCATTTGTTGTATCTTGTTTCACTTCAAAAATTGTTTTATAGGATTCTTCATGAAGTCTGGATACAATATTTTTGTTGTCTACAAGAATGGTGCATGTTTCTTGCTCTGTGGTTTGCCACGTCACTTTCTTAATGATGTATTTTGAATAAGAGTTCTCTAATTTTAATGTCCAAATGACCAGTGCTTTCCTTTAAAGTTAGTGTATTTTGTAATCCTTTTAAGAAAACCTTGTTTATTTCAACATCATGATGATATCCTAATATAATGTTCCAGGGCCGTACGTAACAGCTGCGTATAGATTATTTTATTTTTTTTCTAGCTGGGAGATTGAAAATGGTGTTATAATTTCTTCTCCTTTGTAGAGTTAACCTCCATATTGTATTTGGAAATGTTAGATGGTGGTAAGATGGTAGCCCTATTGCTTCTTGCTTCTGTTCTTCTCTGGAGTGAGAAATGTGCTTTGGTTATGTTTTCGCCTTTCACTGTCTGCTTGTATTCTCTTACTAACTTGACTCTTTGATAATACGGTATTTGCTATCTTCCTTTCTTAGTTTTACTAAGAGCCTGAATTTTATCTATGAATTTATTCAAGATTATTTTTACTTTTCTCAAAGTTGGAACACATGTAGCAGGACTCATTGGTGAGGGAGGGATGTTGGTCAAATTATGTATTCTTTGTACAAATATTTGTAAAAAATATTTTTCAATTCATATTTTTTATTGCTGAAGTCATCTTAAATTCAACAAAAATGTGTTGATGAGTGAAGTAACAACAAATTTACAGCAACTTGTACCTGATATTATTAAAAGTTATTACTAATATCAGGTATTATTAAATCAGATATTATTAAAAGATATTATAAAAAGGGACTTTCAGCATTAGTTTCAGTAACTAGAAAAGAGAAGGCTTGAATGAACATTCTTCAAGGTTTCTTTTAGAAACATCTTTGATCAGATTAAAATGTATACTTTGATAAGCAGGCATGAAGACTATCTAGTGAAGACCTTAAACAATATTTATTGTCTTCGGCTTCAGCAACATTGTAATACTTAGCATTATAAGATTTTTAAGCTATAAAAATAATAGGTTTTAAGAAATAAAAAGTGTATGTTTCCTTTTGTAGGTGTTTGTTTTATTCTGCTGTTCTCACATGAAGCTAAAATGCCAATAAGACCAGGTCTCCAGGTAGGTCGTCCTAGGCTAAGAGGAAATTTGTTATTTTAAAGTCTAAAATCACTTTATTTTTATTATGATTTAGAGGTATTTAGCGTTATATTTCAAACAGTGACAAAGATTACATGATTTTGTCTAAGGGTCAAGAGTAGAGCAGTGTAATACAATAGTATTGTCTTTTCTTTTATTCAGTATATAGTTTTAGAGAGATGTATTAAGAATATATATAAACAATTAAAGATGCTGGTTCTTTACTCCTTTTACATTGCAAAGAACTATGCACCAATTCATTTGTAAGTTATATCCACATATTTATATACTAAACTTTAAAATGTTAAGATATTTGAATTTAGATAGGGAGTTTAAGTTTTATAGAATATCTGTTTAATACATGTACAATTTGCCAGAGTCTGTTTAAACATCAGATTATAGTATAAAAATTACTTATTAATGAAGTTGTGCTTTAATAGTAGAGATGCCAGACTTTGTAAAAGTTCTAAGTATTATGTCAGGCTAGTACTGAAGTTATATTTGTTGGTATCTTTTCTAAAATGCATTTACCTGCCTTTATGCATTTTATTGTATTATTTAAACCCCTGGAAAGGTTGGCAGTCAGATCATGAAGAAGTTGATAGTAAAATATGTTAGGCTTTTAATAATATCGGGTACAAGTAGCTATAAATTTGTTGTTACTTCACTCATCAACACATTTTTGGTAAGCTTAAGATGACTTTAGCAATAAAAAAATAGGAATTGAAAAATATTTTTTTACCATTAAGAGAATATTTTTTACCATTTAGAGTATTTTACTGCCAAAATTGTGATTTGTAGTACAGTAATTATAAATTTAAGCGTGGGCAGATTTTTTAGATTAATTAAATTGACATGGAAGTTTTTATGTGAAAGCAGCTCTCAGATTACTAGGTTGTATAAGGAAACTAATTTTGGATTTGAATAAAATGCATATGCCATTAACTGTCTTTCTTTAGCAGTTGGAAAAATGCATTGATGATGCACTAAGAAAAAATGATTTCAGACCTTTACAGACCCTTTCAGAAATTGATGTTTGTGAAGATGTGGTGATTAAATGCAGCAAACGGTTTTTCCACAAGTTGGATGGCCTGATATGCAGGGTAAATATTCATTTTTCCTGAGCAGTTAGTTAAATCATTAGACAACACTCTTAGGAAAAAGTACTCAGTTGGAAGAAATAATTAGAAAAGGGTCTCAACATAGTGTTTCCCAAATAATCTATACAGAAAGCTGTGTTTGCATTGTTGTTAAATTAAGTACTGTCGAGTCAATTCCAGCTCATAGTGACTCCGTATAGGGTTTCTGAGGAGCAGCTGGTGAGCTTGAACTGCAGACTTTGTGGTTTAAGCTGACCTTGCAGTCCAATGCATTGTATCCAAATGCTACACAGGACTTTGTAGTTGTGTTGGTTTACTGTTATTAACTCTTACTTATAATGGGGAAAAATGATTTGTGTCTTTGAAGTTTAAACATCTTGATCAATTTTTAAAACCCTTTCAACAGATTATTGATATTACATAGACAATGCTTATGTTTACAAAAACAACTAAACACAAATCACCCAAAACCTGGGATTTGATTCGTCATATCTAAGGCATTTTTATACATGAGGAAAAATTGTCACTGACAACCTCTTCTAGTGCCTGTGATTTGTTATCCTAAAGAACTGAGTAAAAATTTCTTGTATCTTTTAGTTAAATACATGGAACTTTTTAAGAATGTAAGAGAATGGATCCCTTGTATAATAGTCTAAAGTTAATTGTATTTCCACAATTCTATGTTTTTCCTGAGTTTGTCTTTCACTGCCTGGGTAGCTTTGGTTAATTTGCTTTTTTAGAAACCCAGTTTCCTCCCTTTGCAAAATGGCTACCCTTCAAGGATCTGGGAGGATTATAGTGTACAACACATAGCACAATGACTACCTACCAATAAACTGATGTGTACTGTCTTTCTATTCCATACTGTTTTGTGTTTGCAAAAGTTGAAATGTATACTTTTTGATTTAGGAACTTGTGAAAAAGGATATCCAAACTGTTTCAACCATTTTGATTTCTGTTGGAAGATGTAGTAAAAATATCAGTATATTGGGACAAGCTGGACTTCCAGTTATGATAAAACAAGGACTAGTCCAAAAGATAAGTATAAAATATATAACATTAATGAGAAGGAAATAAAATTAATAGTATGTATTATGATAAAATATAAGGATCTCTGGTGGCGTAATGGTTACGAATCGGGCTGTGAACCTTGAGGTCAGCGGTTCGAAACTACCAGCCGCTCTGCGGGAGAAAGATGAGGCTTTCTACTCCCATAAAGATTTACACCCTTGGAAATCCTGTACAGGGTCGCTATGGGTCGGAACTGACTCAACGGCACTTAACAACAACAACGATTAAGTAATAGTTTAAGTTGTTGAAAAGACATTTCATAGCTTTACACAAATTTTCAGGGTAATGGGAAACTAATTTGTTCTGTAAACAGCCTTCACCCATACCACAGTAAAATGTTTTTTAAAAAATACACTTGGTGTTACAGAGGCAGGAGAGTCCCAATTTGTTCTATGAATGAGAAAATCATATAAAATTTCTCCCATTGAAATACATTTCAAAGTTTTACATATAATCAAAGTATACTTTGTGTTCCAAGTAGAACATTACCAATAAATTGTGTGATGACCCAAAACTTAGAATAAACTATTCTTATATCCTGTGATTTATGTTACAAAGAAACTCTCTTAATGCCTGTATTTTCTCTCTAGCTCTTCACTATGTAACATATTTCTTTTTTTATATTCTTATACTAAAATCTACAGCATTGATTTTTGTTTATTTTGTTTGCTGGTGTATCTGCAGTGCCTAGAACAGTAAATAGGACATATACCAAAACCCGCTACTATTGAGTCAAGCCTGACTCATGGAGACCCTGTAGGACAGGCTAGAACTGCCCCTTAGGGTTTCCAAGGCCGTCAGATTCATGGGAGTAGCTGGGGGGATAGCAGCTGAGCACTTAACCACTGCACTGCATCAGAATGAATAAGCATGATACCAGAACTTTTTAAAAAGATGCCAGAATGGTTTACATTGTGATGATCATTTTCTTTCCTCTATTATAATAAGTGTACTTGAACTAGGAAGATGAAGTAGGTAACAGGGTCTCTTATGTTCTGTATCATCCAGTAGATTTTGACTTGTAGTGGCCTCGTGTGACAGAGTAGAACTGCCTCATAGGGTTTTCTTGGCTCTCATCTTCATGGGAATCTAGGGCCAAGTCTCTCTCCCATGGAGCCTCTGAGTGAGTTCCAACTGCCAACCTTTTGTTTAGCAGTTGAGTGCTTAACTGTTTGCACCACCAGGGCTCCTTCTAAAATTTGCCCACTTCCATCTAAACAATGGGGGAATATTTTGTTGTTGATGTTCCCCCAAATAAGTTCTGACTCATTGTGAACCCTGCGGAGGGTTTATGAGGCTGTAACCATTATGGGAGCAGAAAGAAAGTCTTTTTTGTTTTTTCCCAAAGAGAGGCTGGTGAGTTTCAACTGCCAACCTTATGCTTTAGTATCCCAGTGAGCTGCTGTGCTCACCAATAACTGGTGCTTACTCTGTACTGGGCACTGGGGTTAAGGGTTTTTTTCTCAAAGGCACCTAACAGTATTTATTATTATTGAAATGGTTAAATAATGTAACAAGATTTAGTATATAAGGGTGTGTAAAGAATAAATTGCATACAAAATATGTGGAGATTAGTTTGGGGTCAAAAGTTTGCAAACATCCTGTGCTCTCTGGACTATATCCTAAGTAGAGCAGTCATTAAGACCTGTTGTTCCTGATCTTGATTGAGTTGCATAAGGGCATGGTCAGTGTGGGGAACAGAGCAGGAGCACAATGAAATGGTGCTGGCAGATCCTCTGTACTCGTGAGATGCCTACCCTTATCTCTGCCCTGGACATTAGATTTGGGCTGGAAGACCAGAAGGAGGACTTGCTTGGTAAGTGGTCCTTCATGGAGACAGAAAACTGCTACAGAATAGGAAGGTGTTGATTGTGTTACTCGGACAAAAAGGATGGGTGGAGGGGCTGGTAAATCATAGGAGGTGGCCTGGAGCCAGCTCTGGCCTAAAGCCATATAATATGGCATTCCAAGAAGAGGACAGCCTGATATATATGGGAATATATAGTGAGTTACAAAAAATTAGCAAAAACAATAAGCAATATGTTTAAGAAAATAATCTTATCTTGATAAAATAATGTGATTTTCATTTTTGATATCCTTTTATTCAGAGGTGTACTGTTTATACAAGGTTAGATGAGTAGATTCTTGAAATTATTAAAATTCAAAGTAACTAATATGTACATTCCTTTCTTTTACATGGCTGCCTGGTTTGAAAAATTTAACGAGATTATTCTAAATAGAGGAAATGCAGAAGATGACACTGCTATAAATATGATAGACGACTTCTTTGATGTTTTGATGGTAAAATAACATTAATTCATGTTACAAAGCATGTATTTATTTATTAAATATTGGTATTCTGTATGCCCTGACCATAAAAGTCACTAAAGATTTTCAGTGATTTAGATAGATGATTCAGACTGTACTGTTTATTCTTGTCTTAGTTTTCTAGTGCTGCTATAACAAGTATCACAAGTGAGTGGCTTTAACAAGTAGAAATGGACTTTCTCCCAGTTGAGAGGCAAGAAGTCCAGATTCAGGGTGCCAGCGTTAGGGGAAGGCTTTCTTTTTCTGTCAGCTCATAAGGAAGGTTGTTGTCTCTTGAGTTTCTGTCCCTGGGTGATTTTCTTGTGCCTTGGCATCTCCCTTCCCCATCTCGGCTTGATAATTTATTTTTGCACTTTATCTCATAAGAGATAGGGAACATTCTTCACAAATAGTGTCACATTAGCATAACAAAGACAACCCAGTCCCAAATGGGATTATAATCACTAGCATAGAGGTTTGGATTACAGCGCATATTTTTGAGGGACATCGTTCAACCCTTAACAGTTCTGATTAATTAAATAAAAATTAAACATCGTAAATTCTGATATGTTACTTTGGCATATGTGATGGTTTATAATATAGTAAGTTGTAAATGAAACTATTTGCTTTTTTTCAGGTCATACATAATGTCAATGATGAAGGTAGAGTAATTTTATTGGAACAATAATTTGTTAGAGTTTTAACATAATTTTGTAATTTCAAATTTATTGGAACAATAATTTGTTTTTTAGAGTTTTAACATAATTTTGTAACTTCATTATTAACCTGATATTTGGAATTAATGCAGAGATTTGCAAAATTTTTCTGCACAGGGATAGGGAGTAAATATTATCAGCTTTAGGGGCCAAGAGAAAAAAATTGAAGGTACTTACATAATAAGAAAAGCAAATGTCCGCAAATGTTCTACTGAAACAATTAAAAATGTCTTGTTGTTGTTGTTGTAATGTGCCGTGGAGTCGATTCCGACTCATAGCGACCCTGTACAGGGTTTCCGAGGCTGTAAATCTTTACAGGAGCAGAAAGCCTCATCTTTCTCCTGTGGAACAGCTGGTAGTTTCGAACTGCTGACCCTGAGGTTCACAGCCCGATTCGTAAACACTACACTACCAGAAATAACTTTTCTTTTGGGGGCATAACATTTCATTTATTGGGGTTCAAAGTTTATGTTGTCTCATAGCAAAACTGCTTACAAGTGTAATGCACATTAGAAAATGTCTTTTCATGCAGATACTGACAAATACTAATATCAGTTCACAAGAATATGAATCTTAACAGCATACTCATCAATTGGAAAGCATTTATAGAATTTTATTAATATTTTCCCTTTTAGAATGTCATCACATTGCAGATCAGTTTCCATTGAAGGTTATATGGACGCCCCTCAACTGCACAGTTAAATGAATTTTGAACTGTGCATTTTTTCTTTGCATTTACACCAGAGAATGCTGCTGGACTGTAGTTGGGGCTAGGGAACTAGATTCCCTGCAAACCTGTGTGGGAATGGAGATAGCACTTCTTGTTCAGCATTTATAGCCTGAGAAGTATAGCAAGTGGCTTGGGACTACTTGCGATTCAAATAGTGTTGTTGTGGTTAAGTGCTGTTGAGTTGGTTCTGACTCATCGTGGCCTTGCATAGGGTTTCCAAGAGTGGCTGGTGGGTTTGAACCACCAATCATGTGATAAGCAACCTGGTACTAATCCTGCAGTGCCACTCCAGGACTTAGTTATTATCAGAAGGACTTGACTATAGTATCAGTTACTCATATAAGTTCTATTTTGCCTTGACAATTTGGGTTGAGTTTATTTTTAAAAACCTGATGAAGTCTGTATCAAGTGGTAATCTCTGAAGCCATTCAGTGTTTGATAGTAGTGGCTGAATACTGTTCTTGTTCAGAAAAATTTCAGTCTTGGCCCAGAGTTCAAAGTATCGCAGTGTTCCACTTCTAAGTCCTCAGACTGCTCTGTGATTGGGCAACTCAAGAGTTTCTACTTCTGACAAAAACTCACTGACCATGGCTAAATTCATGAGAGAGAGAATAAAGTTTACCCCTGTGCATTAATGGTTCAATAAAGCATGATAGATTTAGATGTTTTCTACAGAGTATCTGCTTATGAATCATTTAAAAATAACAACAAAAACTGCTGTCAAGTCAACCCGAGCTCATGATGACCCCATGTGTGTCAGAGTAGAATTGTGTGCCATAGAGTTTTCAGTGGTTAATTTTTCAGAAGTACGTTGCTAGGTCTTTCTTTTGAGATGCTGGGAGCACTCAAACCTTTGGGTCTAACTTACTGTCTTTTTAACCTTTGGCACCACCCAGGCATTTGGTGAATAAATACAGCCAAACAAAATCAGGCAGCTGGTCAGAGTTGGTCTGTAGACATAGTCTGCCAACCCTCAATCTAATGGAACACAATTTTCTATGATAAATTAGTTTGGGAAAGTAGAACACTTTATAACGTTCACTTGTGGCTAGCCAGTCGTGTTCCTAGTGATCAGGTGATTTTATCTTTGTGTTAGTTTTGGAAGATTACCTAGTATTGTTGTTAAGTGCTGTCGAGTCGATTCTGACCCATGGTGACTTTTGTATAGGGTTTCCAAGGAGTGACTGGTGAGCTTGAACCGTGGATGCTGTGGATTCGTGGACCTAGGATTAGGGAAAGTAAATGTTTTGTTTTTTCCTCTAAGGCTAGTTAAATTGCTTATAAATAAAAGGGTGGTGACAGCTATTTGCTGCCTTCAACACCATCAAGTTTAGAAAGATTGGTTATTATTGATTGATTGATTTCTTAAAATAGAATAGTTAGATTTCATTTTCTGTATTTTTAGGGGAGAAAACAGTCCTAGGAATCATAAAGTGATTCAACTATTGTTGTTGTTGTTTTTTAAAGTATATCGTACCTTTTCACCTAAGTGAGTCCCCCTCCCCTGCTCACTGTAGTCACTTTGGAAGGTTGTACATATGCTGGCACAGTGTTGGCATAGTTTAAAGTTGTATTTCAAATTCACTTTATGAAATAGCATTACCCTGAATATTTTAGTGCTGATAAGATGTCATCTTTTGGGAATGGACTGAACTTTTAGATATGGCACGAGTCATTGAGAGCCTCATGGTATGAAGACATGGTGATGGTCATCAAGAATGTACGAGGGTATGTGAGGGGTCACTGTCATTCAGTGAGGCCAGTTTTCTTAAAAACCTCAATGGACATTTCAGTTCTTTTACTGCTTTTACTTTATCTAAAAAATGAACACTTCCTTATGTGGCAGAGATGAAAAGCTGGACCAGGCCTTCTCAGCTAGCATTAATGTTGGTGGCGCACCCACTGAGTGGTGCTTGTCTCAGAGCAAATTAGTGATTAGCAAGGCTTCTTGGTAATGCAGTCCAGAGGCCCTTTGTCTGAACTGCACCAGTACACATTCTTCAGAAACTCATATGAGAAAAGATTGTCATTTAAAAGGATTTAATGCACATCTGTTGGTAATTTAATACTTTCATTCAGGTCAAAGGCAAACATTGGAAAGCTTTGCACCTCGATTTTGTGCCCTGGTTATTGACTCAAGAGTGAATATCTATATTCAGCGGGAGGTAAAGATATTTTTTGGATTTTTAAAAACTTGATAAGATAAAATGTCATAGTAATTCATCAATTGAATGAATATTGTCTCTTTGCACTAAATTACCTTGTATGGTTACAATGAACAATTCATTGCCTTTAGAACCAACATATTTCTTAAATACTTACTAAAATTCATAACTATATGGATTTGTGTATGAATGGAGCTCATATGAAAATAAATGGTAGCTTCAAGCAATTAGAATTCTTAAGTATTTAATACTAAAACTAACCTTTATGTGTGTGTAAAGTATGTGCATGTATATAACCCTGAGAACAAGGTTAATATTCATAATCAAATAATCATAATCAAATCATATTTCTTAAATGTCCCTATTTCTTGTAATAGTCATAAACATGTCATATTTTTTTAAGTATACATGCTTTAATTACAAGAGTCATGCTATAGTTCACTTTGGTTCTGCTGTGTTTTAGCTTTTTTATACTCAGTATTTCATATTTGATATCATTTCCTTTATCTTACCCAATTCCCTGCATATAATATAGTGTTTTTAAAAAATAAGCTTTTAAATTGATGTGCCTGGAATATTTTTCTAAATAATTAATGTTTCACTGAGTATGTAAAGTTAATGGATTATCTTTTTTTTTTTTCCTAGGCTCTAAGAAAAATGAATACTATGCTTGACAAAATGACTGAAGATTCCAGGAAAATGTTCTTTAGTCAAGAAATGTTAATTCTCATGTAATAATTTCTACTATGTTGGTTTTGTTAGCGAGTCAAGTTTATTAGTTTAAGAAATAGTTTATAAGGCAGGCAGTAAGGCAACCATGACTTTGCATTAATAAAGGTTTCAAATAAGATTTAGGACTCTGGTGTGGCACTGTAAGATCAGCATTGGACTTCGAACCATAAGGTCGGCAGTTCAAACCCACCAGCTGCTCTTTGGAAACCCTATAAGGGTCTCTATGAGTAGGAATTGACTCAGTGGCACTTAAAAACAACAAAAATTGAGATTAACATATGTGTATATTTTCTACAAAAGCCAGTAAATCAAAGCAACAACAATGAAAAAAGGAGCCCCGGTGGTATAGGATAAGCACTGGACTGCTAACCACAAGGTCAGTGGTCCAGATGCACCAGTGGTCCTTAAGCAGAAAGATGAAGCTGTCTTCTTCCATGAAGATTTACAGTCTCTAATATAAGTTCTGCATGTAATATGTTATTTTTATTTACAGGAGTAGTATGGGAGAAAGGATTTTAGATGTTGGAGGTATGTCTTTTCAAAATACTCATGTTTGAAATGATATTACTTGTAAATGACTAAATTTGAGGTTAAAATAATTTGCATGAATAAATATGAATGCCTTGATGATAGATTTATGAATAATAATTTTGCAATGCTTTTTAAATAACTTGTGCCAAGATGTTCTTCAAATGATATTTTGTGAAATCAGTGGTGGTATGGTTGTGTGCTATGGAGTTGGTTCCATCTCATAGTGACCCTGTACAGGTGTTTCCAAGGCTTATAAAATCTTATGGGAGCAGGAAATCTTTATGGAAGCATAAATCCACTTCTTTCTCCTGAGGAACAGCTGGTAGTTTTGAACTGCTGGCCTTTAGGTTAGCAGTCTGATTTGTAACCACTATGCTACCAAGAGGTCTAATGTTCTTGGGATCATAGACTTGTTTTTAAACAATGTGTTTACTAAAAGAACTATAAAGTTTCTTTTCTAAATTTCATATGAGAAAATTCTGATGTAGTGATGTACACACAGAATAAACCTTTTGGCTTAAAGTAAACTCTGAGATAACTGTAAGCATCATATTATAAAAAGAAAGCAAGAATGCAGTGATTTATAGACTATCCTTTTAGCTATTTTGAGTCACTGACTAGGAGTTTATATATATATGTGTGTGTGTGTGTGTGTGTGTGTGTGTGTGTGTGTGTGAATATGTGTGTAGTCCTGTAGGGTAAGCACTGGACTGCTAACCCAGCAGTCACTAGTCACTCCTTGGAAGCCCTATACAGCATTGCTTTGAGTCAGAATCAATTGGATGACACTTTTAACAGCAATAACAACATATTAACTTCAATCCTTTCCTCTGTTAGGAAACTAGTTTTGTTATTTGGCTTGTATTCATTCCTATAATGATGACACATTTCTAATCCATAGAAACAAGATAGCAAAAAAATGAGTAAATTCTACTAATAGTTTTCTTTTTCTTGCTGGTTCTAGTATTCTATAAACGATATGACCTTTAACAATGCTTACTTTTTGTTATTTTTAATTGGATAATGATTCATCATCTTTTTTGATAGATTATGACTTACAGTGTGCCATTGTAGAAGCTTTATGTAGAATAACCACAAATAAGGAAAGGCATGTGCTGGCGTCTCAGTGGTTTTCAATGGATTTTATTGTTCATGCATTTAAAAGAATTAAAGATTATCAGTTTGAAACAGTAAGTAATATTAAATAATCCAAATGATTTTAAAGTGCTTCTAGTTAATGTTTTTAAGATGTCTTTCTTCTTAAAATTAGGATTGCAGGAAATTTCTCAACTTTGTAAATGGCATGCTTGGAGACAAGAGAAGGTAAATATGCACTTACGATGATGAACTAGGGGTTAAGAGAAAGTGCACAATATCGGACCTTTATAAGTTTAACTTTAATCGTTCTGTTACATTATTGTTGTTGTTAGATGCCATCAAGTCAGTACCAACTCATAGCGACCCTGTGCACAACAGAATGAAACACTGCCCGATCCTGGGGCAGCCTCACAATTGTTGCCACACTTGAGCACATTGATGCTACCACTTTGCCAATCCATCTCGCTCTGTTAAGTTAGAAGTGTGAACATTTAAAACAATATCTTACCTTAATATGTAGTAAATTCTTACACTGGTAGGCTGAGATAATCCTCTGTTGGCTCCCGTTTTGCTTTGTTTTTTTCAGGGGAGAAATCATTTTTATTTAATATTAAGCTTTGGATATCCAAAATCGGGTTTCTGTTATATCATAATTGTATATACTGTTGTTGATGTTGTTAAGTGCCGTCGAGTCGGTTCCGACTGTATTATTTACTATTTCAGATATAATAAAAACCTATATATTTTTTATAGTAAATGTTAAGATTAACGTTTTGTTCTTGTTAAATACCATCAAGTCCATTCCAACACATAGCAACCCTGTATAGGGTTTCTGAGGCTGTGAATCTTTGCAGGAGCAGAAAGCCTCATCTTTCTCCCAAAGAACAGTTGGTGGACTCAAACCACTGACCTTGCAGTTTGCAGTCCAATTGGTATTTTGCAGAGCCACCACACTCCAAGTTACCCACATACAGGAGTTGAAATAAATATACAGCATACAGAATCTGCCTTTATCAATAATACTTCAAGGGCTCCTTTCTAAGACTAGTCAACATTTGAAATGAACATGGAAGATGAATAATATAAATTTTTATCATTTTTGGTAATAACTGAAGGACAGAATATTTGTGCTTGTCATCTTATAAATTCTCAGGACACATTTATTGGATGACTGAGATTGTGTTTACTTTATAAGGAAATTAAAGATCTGGTAAGGGCTAAATGCAAGGGGTCATAATGACTGGATTGAAATCATGAATTGCTAAACATTGGAGAAGTTCTTTTAAAAAAAATTTTTTTAAACATTGGCTCAGTTTCCTCAGCTGTAAAATAAGAGTACAAATACTTAAATAGTAACAGCTGAAACCTAAATGAGACGGTTGTATGTTAAGTGCTCAAATAGTATCAACGTAAGAAGCAGCTAATAAATTCAGCCATTTTTATTAGGGTCATTATTTCTTTTCTATCAGTGTTTCATGGGAATTTCCATTCTATAATTTGTTAAGTGCCTTCAAGTCAGTTCTGACACATGGTAATTCTATATAGGGTTTCTGAGGCACAGATGGGTTTGAACAGCCAATCTTGTAGTTAGCAGTCCAGTGCTTTTCCTATAGTGTCTACACCATTGTATAATTAGTATAATCTAAAGAATCTCTGTTTACAATTTATAGCACACATATACATTCACATACAAAATTGTTATAATCACGCTAGTCAAAATGATAGGTTGAAAAGTATCCTCAAAACAATGTTTTTCTCTACAGAAATAAATTTCCATTAAAATATAATTTTAAGAAGTAATATGGAGGAAATGTGCTCTTATTTAGACTGTTTAAAAACAAAACCTGCCAGACTCTGTGGATCCTAGAAATTATTCCTGTGGCTAGACGAGATAATGCTGTTAAAAATCCATTACCTTTTCTTTAACTGAAGCTACTTTTTATTTCAGGGTCTTTACATTCCCTTGTTTATCAGCATTTCTTGATAAATACGAAGTAAGTTTTAAATGTATACCTTTTTTAAAAAAAATTACGGGATGATTTTAATTCAAGGGCTTAGTAAAGTTAATGATTTACAAGTTGGTAAGAATATTAAAAATAGTCAAAACTAGATCAGAAATACCGCTGAGTTAGGGTTTTGTGTCAGATAGTGACACCAAGAGACATTTCATGAAACACAATATCCATAGTCCAGGATAACATTAAAATATCAAGGTTTACCTTCTGTTTCATCTAAGCCCATATGCATGTACTCAGACTTGAGGCTGAGAAGCCGCTCTTAGCATTTGGAATATTTGTCATGTTTTGGGGCTAGTTAATTGCTCTGTAAAATATGAAAACATCATTTCTTTCTATTGTCTCTAAATTGATTCAAAGGTTTTACTTGTCTACTCCTTTTCTACTCTTCAAGTTACACTTAAAAACATCAACAAAACTCAGCCATGACTATTGATTGCTCATAAATTTCTCATTTTAAAAAACAGAGTAAATACTAGTTTTATGTCTTATTTTTATTAGTTACAAATGCCATCAGATGAAAAACTTGAAGAATTTTGGATTGATTTTAATCTGGGTAGCGAGACTCTGTCGTTCTACATTGCTGGAGATAATAATGTAAGCTTTATTCCTG